GCGAGGCGCGCGACGTCTCCGCGGACGCGGGCTTCATCCAGCTCTGGTACCAGCGGCTCCGGGCCCGGTGGGCGAAGCGCGCCGCGGCGGCGCGCGTCCAGGCCGTCGCGCGACGGTACGTGAAGCTCGTCCAGCTGCGGCGCCTCGTCGCGGCGCGCCTGCGGGCCGCGCGGCTCTTCCAGGCCGCGCTCCGCGGCCTGCTGGCGCGGCTGCTGCTCGGCCGGCTCCGCGCGCGGGTCAAGGAGGCCGCGTGGGAGCTCGAGGCGAGCGTCGCCATCGAGCGCCGCGCGCGGGGCTGGCTCGCGCGCGCGCGGCTGCGCCGGGAGCCCGCGTTCCGGAGCCGCGCGAAGACCGTCGCGCTCCTCCAGGCGTCGTTCCGCCGCGCGCCGGAGCCCGAGGCGCCCGCGGCGCCCGACGGCGGCGGCGGCGGCGCCGCCGCGGACGCGCCGGCGCCGGCGCCGTTCGCCGAGGACGACGTGGACACGGAGGCGGAGCCCGACTCGGACGGCGAGACGCTCGGGAGCCGGCCGTCGACGGCCGCGGCCGCGGCGCCCGCGGAGGGCCCCGGCGGCGGCTGGCCGCCGCCCAAGGTCTACGACGACTACTGGGAGGCGCGCGCGGACTACATGGCCCAGCAGGACGCCCTCGTCGGCGCGAGCGTGCGCGTGCTCCAGCGGAGCCTCGCGCTGAGCGCGTGGCGGAAGCGGCGGCTCGGCGGCGCCGTCCGCGTCCAGGCGCTCTACCGCGTGCTCCGCGAGCGCGCGAACGTGACGCGGCTCCGGGAGATCGTGCGCCTCGAGCGGCTCCGCAACGCGGCGATCACGCGGCTCCAGGCGCAGCTCCGGGGCCAGGGCGGCCGCGACCGCGCGGCGCGGCGCGCCGCGGAGCGCGCGCGCGCGAAGGCGCTCGCGAAGAGGCGGAAATTCGCCGCGATCACGATCCAGGCGCGGGCCCGGGGCCTGTTCACGCGCGAGGGCATCCGGCGGCGCATCCTCATGGAGCAGCGCCTCGCGGCCGAGGGCGTCGCGCGGCGCAACGAGCTCGCCGCGGAGACGATCCAGTGCGCGCACCGGCAGCGCGTCGCGCGGCTCACGTCCCGAAAGCGGCGCCAGGAGCGGCGCGCCGAGGAGGAGGCCAAGGAGAAGGACCGCGAGCTCGAGGACGCCCTCGACGACCTCAAGGCGCAGCAGGAGACGCAGCTCTTCGCGATGCGCCTGCAGTGCGCGTACCGGAAGAAGCAGGCGCGGCGGCGCCTCGAGGAGCAGATGAAGGCCCTCGTGGACGCGGAGCGCGCGCGCGAGGACGGCCGGCGCCACGGCGCCGCGAGCCGCATCCAGGCGCGGACGCGCGGCGGCCAGGGCCGCGCCAAGTTCGTCGTCGACCGCCGCAAGCTCGAGGACAGCAAGGTCATCCGCGGCGCGCTCCAGCGCATGCGCGCGCGCCAGCGCGCGGAGATGCACAAGATCGAGGCCCGCATGCGCCACCTCGAGAAGTTCGGGCCCTCGGAGTACCTCTGGAGCGGCGTCCGGTCCGAGCTCACGCCCGACGAGGCCGCGCGCGCGGACGCGGACGGCGGCGACCTCCCCGCGCCCTCCGGCGACGCGCCGCCGGCGGACGACGCGCAGACGCCGGCGGGCGACGACGGCGCGACCGCCGGGGGCGCCGGCGACTGGGCCGAGCAGTGGGACGAGAGCGCGCGGGCGACGTACTGGTACAACGCGGCGACGGGCGAGGCGTCCTGGACGGAGCCCCAGGCCCTCGCCCTGGCCCACTACGACGACGACACGGCGCTCTACGACCAGGACCAACCCTACGACCCGGACCAGGCCTACGCCCAGGACCCGGCCTACGGCGACGCCGCCGCGTACGACGACGACCAGGGCTACGGCGAGGCCGGCTACTTCGAGGACCAGCAGGGCTACTACGACGACGGCCAGTACCCCGCCGAGTAACACCGGCGCATGTGGAGGACCGGTCGTCGGGGCTTCGCGGCCGGGGAGCGCTCGGGAAGTGCTCGGGAGGTCGCTTCAAGTGAGTCAACAACGAACTATCGGCTCGCGCAAACGCTGCTGTCTTGTTGAAGGACGATGGGCATAAAATGCGCAGCCTCGTCCTGGTCCTTGGCTGCCTCCGGGGCGCATGGGCCGCCACCCGGCCGAACTTTTTGTTCTTCCAGCCCGACGAGCTGCGCGCCGAGTCGGCCTTCCACGAGGTCGCCACGCCCCACATGGACCGCCTCGTCGCCACGGGCGGCGTGCGCTTCACGGGCTGCCACGCGTCGCACACGGTCTGCTCCCAGTCGCGGGCCGCGTTCATGACGGGCTGGCCGACGCACGTCGCGGGCCACCGGTCGCTCTGGTCGCTGCTCCGGAGCCACGAGCCGAACCTCTTCCACTACCTCAAGGACGCGGGCTACGAGATCGCGTGGCACGGCAAGAACGACAACCTCGACGCGGACTCGCTCCGCGCCGACGTGGCGGAGCACGGCGCGGGCGCGGGCACGGACCACGGCGGGCGCAAGTACGACGACCCGGCCGACGCGCGCTACTACAGCTTCGTCGCCGAGCCCGCGCCGAACGTCACGCAGGACGAGCGCGGGCGCCGCATCCCGAGCGCGCGACTCCTCGCCTGGAACCGTCCCCGGTAGGCACAACGTCGCGGCGGCCCTCGACTTCATCGCCGCGCGGGGGGCCAACGCGACCGCGGCGCCCTGGATGGTCTTCCTCCCGCTGCTGCTGCCGCACCCGCCCTACTCGTGCCCGGAGCCCTGGTACTCCATGGTCGACCGGTCGAGCGTCGACCTCCGGCGGCCGCCGGAAAAAACGGCCGGCAAGCCCGACTACCACGCGAGGCTCCGCGAGGTCTCGGGCCTCGCGAACATGAGCGCGGCCGAGGCCGACGCGACGTACCGCGAGGCGCGCGCGATCTACCTGGGCTCCATCGCCTATTCCGACCATTTGCTGGGCCGGCTCCTCGACGCGCTCGACGCGACGAACCAGACGGAGAACACGGTCGTCGTCGTCTTCAGCGACCACGGCGTCTACCGCGGCGTCCCGCGGCCACGACGATTCGCGAGAGATTTCGACCAGGAAAACTACGAAAGACCGTCACCGACGCGTTTGGTAGGACTACGCGGGCGACTACGGCCTCGTCGAGAAGTGGCCGAGCGGCCTCGAGGACGTGCTCACGAACGTGCCGCTCTACGTCCGCGCGCCCATGCTCGGCGCACCGCCGGCGGGCGACGTCGGCGACCTCGTCCAGCTCTTCGACGCCACCGTCGCGACGACGCTCGACCTCGCGGGCGTGCCCCCGAGGCACGTGCACTTCGCGCGGTCGCTCCGGCCCTACCTCTCGAACGCGACGGCGGGTTCCTGGGAGCCGCGCGACGCCGTCTTCGCCGAGGGCGGCTACGCGACGAACGAGCCGCGCGACTTCGAAAAGGAGACGGGGCGTGCGTCCAACTACTGGTACAAGAGCCACGTGCAGCAGACCTACCCGCTGAGCGTGTGCCGGGCGGTGTCCATTAGGACAAAGGCCTGGAAGCTCGTCTACCGGTCCGACCCGACGTCCCTCGACCACGACTCCGAGCTCTACGACCTCGCCAACGACCCCCTCGAGCTGACGAACGTCTACGATGCGAATCCCGAGGTCGCGACGGAGCTGAAGCTACGGATCCTCGACTGGATGGTCCTCACCTCCGACGTCACGCCCTACTCGACCTGCGACCGCGGCACGGGCAAGTGCTCCGGGGAGCCCTGGTAAACTCGATCGCCAGCGAAGTGACAGTGGCGCTCACATATCCCGCCGGCGGGATATGTTAAACGCCGCTTCAACAACCTGGACCTCAAACCGTGCAC